ATGCAGCTGCCATTTGGTGCATGCAAAGAGCCAGCTTTGTAAGATGCAGAAGATGTTCTGTCTTCTTCTCTCTGTAGCTGTGAGCTTCCCTAGTCTGAGGGTTCTCAAGGCTAAACTACCTTACAGGAACAAAAGAAGAAACGTGGTTTCCTTTGGGCGTGCAGAACCTCAAATCTCTCAACTGAATCTCCTTAGACACCACAGAGGTTAGAGGTAAAGCTAGCCAGGGCCAAATAGGTTTTGGCTTCCTGGACCAGAGGCAGCAAGAGGATGCTTGCTTCTGCAGACAAATCAGAGCCAGCTGATGAAGTACAGCTGCATAAGGAATATGCTAGGGGACACACAGCAGCAGGGGTGGGGTGGGGTTAGGGACTTCCATTGCCAGGCATCTCAGGCACAGGGGGGGGGCTGTTTGTCTGAAATACATAGAGAATTTTCTCTTTGTGTGATAAATCTTAATGCTCCCTGAGAAGAGGGAGGAATTAGGGCCTGGAGGGTGTGTGGAATTCTGTGTCCTGCTGCAGCTGGGTCAGGGAGAACTGAGAGGAGGAGGGGATCACTGGAGGTTAATGGAGAGCTCCTTTTAATAGAGTATCTTCTTACAACGTTTTCTGTCCATATAAACTCCGTCTGTGTGGTCCACACTGCCCCAGAGGACTCCTGGCAAGCCATATTTCTCTCACCATCTTAAAACTTCTTTTGTTTTCCTCCTCTAACGGTATGTCCCCCATGAAGAAGGGACTCCTTAGGCTGGGTTGACAGGGAGGGCTGGTCCTGTGGTGGTGGTAGTCCAGGTTTGGTTGACAAGAGAGCCAATCTTGAAGTAGCCTAGGCCAGTTCACGGGGAGGGGCTGATCCTCCTCTGCTGAGGTGGTTTAGGCTGGGCTGACAATGAAGGCTGGTCCTGGGGTAGTATAGACTGAAGGCTAGTGTGCCCACCTCAGCATGACACTACTGTCCACTGTGTCCTCAATGACAACTCTTCCAATGAGGATTATTCTTCTCCCCGAATCGTCAAAGCATAGTCACCTCTGTCAGGGCCTACCCTAAACTCTAATGAGCAGGGTCTGGAGTTGAAGAACCTGGTCTAAAGGCTAGGCACGGATGTGGGACCTCAGGCTACCCATGTATCAGATCAGCAAGGAAGATCCATCAAGGGACAAATTCCTGGTCAAGAGAGTGGATGCTCTGTTCCGGGCTGCACCATTCACCCTTAGGAAGGCAGGCTCACCATAATAAGCCCAATAAAGAACAGATTAAATAATGTTTCCTTCAGGAAGACACTGTATTCATTCCTCACAGAATCCCTCTCCCCATGCAACAGCTCACAGAGCAGTGGCAAGGTCACTTCACAAATCCTCCTGCTTTACTGAATTACTTAGGAAAGCCCAGCTTTTCCTTCTCATGTGTACTATGTTCTAAGCACACTTTCCCTAATATTTTGGGCTCATCTCCTTTTTCTGTTAAGTCCTCCTCCCTGTCATGTAACTGTTTGTCCTTTATATGTCTGTCCTCTGGGCTGGTCCTCAGAGGGTGACTTTCCCCTTTCTCTCCTCTATTCTCTTCCTATGGGCAGCTGCTAAGATTCACAGCTTGCCTGCCCTCTGCTAAATCTGCCTTCAAGCTTCTGTTTGAGTCATTCTTGAATTTTTCTGTTAATGAGCCTAGGGTCCCTGAGAGAAGACCCCAATTCTGATTGAGGGGACTGTAATGTGAGGTTCTCTGTCCCAGCCAGCCCCTTGAGCCCCGAAATGAACACACAGAGACTTATATTAATTATTGGCTGGTTGCCTGGTTTCTAAGTTTTCTTATTTGCTAGCTCTGTCTTAATCATTAACCCATTTCTATTAACCTAAGTATTTCCACTTGGTTTTATCTTACCAGAGTGGGATGCGGACATCTAACTCCTTTGGCAGCTCACATGGTGACTGCTAAGTGTCTCTGCAGAGAACAGAGCCATTTCCTGTTTGTCCCTGCTTATATCCTGATTCTGTCCAGCTATGTCACTTCCTGTCTGTCTCTACAGACCTCCAGACCCCTATGGTTAGCTAGGGGCAAGCTTCTGCCCAGCGACATCACTTCCTGTCTGGCCAATCAGCCAATGTTTTGCTCATTAACCAACAAGAGAAATATATACACAGAAGGACGTTCCCCACCAGGGGACAACAGTTCAAGAAGAGTCTGGAGAGTTTAAAAAAAAAAAAAAAAAAAAAAACCCTGGGCACTTACCCTGTGTGTGCCCGAGGGAACCCAGGGGATGTGGAGAAAATGCCATGGAAACTAGAGTCTGGTGGATGACCACCCTTGTATCACAGGCACACTGGCCAGCTGCTTGCTCTAGATCAGCTTCAAAAGAACAGCTGAGGTAAACCTTGGGGGGGGGATGTCACCAAACAAGGAAAGAATACTCAACTCTACTTGTGTTTTGTATACCAGGAGCATAGTATAAAAGGAAAAGCAACTAAGTGCTAATGGCCGGGTGTGTGGAGAGAGGGTTGGGTTTTAAGACAGACCTAGGGACATGCTTGTTCTTTGCCCATCTACTGTAATTTCCACTAATGGCAGAAAATATAAATTTGGGGTTCACAGGTCACAGCCAAAGGTGAGTGAGTCTGCCACACTTGCTGCGTAAAAGTAAAAGCCCGTTTTTTCAGACGGGGATAGTTTTTTCTTTTTATTCCTGTAGGGATGTCTCAGAAGCCTGAGATGGCTACTTCCTGCCGTAACTTTGAAGGAGGTGGCTGACACACATGACCAATAGTGGTTTTAATAAATGTTCTATCCCTCTTCCCCCATCACACACACAATGGGAACGGGTTACCTCTCCAAATTCCACTTCTAACATCTTTGAGAAAACAGAACTTGGCCTTCGGTTCACTTGACTGTCTCCAAATGTCAGAGGGTCTCATCTGTCAGTGTCTTGGAAAAGCATGTTGTTACACTGATCTTTCTGGAATCCCAGAGGACACATGAAAAGATGTGTTGAGGTTCGAGGATTCAAGACAGTGAGAGGCAAGGAGTTTTCTTCCACCATCTGCATCTCCAGGGGATGTGAGTAGACTTGCCAGACTTCTAAGTTAGGACATCTGGACTCAGCCCCTGGTTCTGTGGCTGCCTAGGGCACACAGCCATTTTATTTTTCATCTGTAAAATGGGAGCAAGCTCATGAAGCTTGCTACTTGCTGGACACTCAAGGTGGAGGAGGGTGGACAAACAGCTATTTCAAACTCTTGAGTCCTAAGAAGAGGTCAGACATTTCAGAAAAAAAAAATCATGTGCTCTTGAAATAAAAGGTAAAGGAAAATGTTTTGTAACAAATGCTTCTTGAATGCAAACTTTCAGATGGGCTGTAGGATTTAGAAGTGCACAACATTTGTTTCATTTTTTTTTTATAACTTAAATGCTTATGTGATTTGCTTGCTCAGCATGCCTGTGTCTGAACCTTAAGAATTTTGGTATGATGTTCCCCTTATGACCTCCATGTAGGAAGGGTGTTGAATGCTTGATCAATCACTTTGAATATGTCTTCTATCAGCTGTCCCTAGAAGAATCTCATTCTTCATGAGGGAATTCTTTCCTTACAGAGGCATAAGCAAGGTCTACCACACCCCCCCACAATAAGGGCCCAATGGCAAATCAAACTATGATTCCCCCAAAGTCCAACTTGGGGAAGTAATGCATTTAGTGGATTTACCTGCATGGCGTGGGTGAGGGGTCACTGCCAGGAATGTGACCTCAAAGCACCCATACTGGGAAGCCTTCACACAGTGTGGATGATGGCTTCCCTACACCCACACAGGTGGACACCCTCCCGATTAACTTCCCCCAGCCCATGCTCTCTAGCACCTCCAGGGATCCCAAGGCCAAGCGCCATGAGGGAGGATGACACTTGGAACTGGCAACTGTTATCCCCCCCCCCCGCGCCAGGGTCCAGTGACCCTTCCCGTACTTCTCTCCGTTAAGAGAATGTCAGCAGTGCACAGGCCCACCACGGCCTCTTGAAAGCAGGTTTAGACAGTCTGATGAAACCGGGACAGTTTTGCTCGGAGGACCTCATCCTATATTGCCATCTTCCCACAGCCCAGGTGCTGTCCAGAGTGCAGGCCAGGGCAGGGGAGCGTAGGGCGCTCCCTTCCATTACTCTCAGAGCTCACTTAGATCTCCAGAACAGCAGAGGAGAGAAAAGTCAGAGGCCAGTTTTGCTCCCTACAGAGAGCCCCTGACAAATCAATCGATTCTTTGTTCTCAAAAGTCTTCTTCCCTGCTGGCTTTCTGTGTTTGGTGGAATGAGGGCCTTTTCTTGTAAAGCTGCCAGCCAAGGTTAAACTATTTCAGCAATTATGTCCCTTTTGCAGAACCTGGTGTGCAAAATCCCCTTGGTTTCCGTCACAGTCAAAGCCTCAACTACGCTCAACCCCCACAGGACACCTGAAATTCTTTCCCCAAGCGGTTTAAAGCGGCTATGTCAAGGTGTGAGCTCACCTCCTCCTCAGTTTGCCCAACTGAAGGAAGTCGTAAGCCTCACAGATCTGTGTCCAGATCCCTCTCATCCCCAGGGTTAACCTGAGCAAAGTTACGGGGACTTCGCGGTGCCCCCAGAGGCCTTACCGCACAGACAATGACCACTCAGCATCTCAGAGGGCTTCATTCTGGTGAATGCAAAGCCTCAGGAGAGCCACAGCGCGGTGGGGACCCGCCAAGGCGAGCACAGAAGGCGCCTCCGGGCAGGAGGGCGCAGCCAGTACATCTTTGGAACCCTGTGTGAGTGTACATGCCTATAAGGTTTGCCTTGCAGTCGCTTGAAGAAGGTGTTCAAGCAGCACCAACAAACGTTTGCCGGGTCCTGGCTAGCCCTTGCCTTCTCCTTCGCCGCCCTGAGCGCCGGGCGGCCCCTGCGCGGGCGCGATGGGAGGGAGGTGGGGCAGAGGGAGGAGATCCGCGGGCGAGAGGGCGGAGAGGGCGAGGGCGGGAGGGGTGGATCCGGGAAGCTAGGGCTATTTGACAGCACCAGGGGCAGCCGCAAGAGTTCTAGGAGCGCCGGCCTGAGTGCAACTGGAGGGGCCGCGCGGTCTCCACCAGCGGCCGCAGGACCGCGGAGCAGCTCTAGCTTGCTGGCCGGTCTGCGCTCTCGCACACCGGATCTCCGCCTCGTGCCAAGGCGCAGCGCGTGGAGCGCCTGCTTCGCTTGGCCCCCTCAAGCGTCACCATGCTGCCGCTGCAGCTGTGCTGGCTGCCGCTGCTCGTCGCCCTGCTACCGCCTGTGCCCGCGCAGAAGTTCTCAGCGCTCACGGTAAGTAAGTCCCGAGCCGCATCCCCGCCTTCCCTGCTCCTTCCTCGCTCGGAACTCATGCACCCCCCCAACCTCCTGGGACATGGCTCTAGGAGCAGGTGACCCGGTGAGCTCCAACAGGTGGGTCCCGGAGAGTGCCATGGCATGCGTGCCCAGGGTCGGAAGCTACTCGCATGTGAAGGGCTGCAGGTCCTACCAGCCCAGGACAGAAGGGAGCTGTTACGCGGCGATGTCTGATACCCCACTTTAGGAGGGAAGGAATGAGCATGGGAGCCAGTATGTGGGCCACCGATGTCCGCAGCTGTCTCTGATCTAACTGGGCACACACCTTGTCAAAGCTGACCCAGCCTGGGATTAGCAAGCGGGCGGGTTTCAGCTCGGGCTCCCCGAGGACCCATTCTCCCCCCCCACCTTTTTTGGGGGGGGAGGAGCCGCAGCCCGTGAGCTCCACTTGTGGCGGAACGTCCTAGAGACCCCTTTACTGAGCCGAGAAAGAAGCAGATATGACAGTGAATTAAAGGCCATCTTTCTTCGGTTGAAGAAGTCATAGAGGAGGAATGATCCGCAGCACCAGAGGCACAGAGGAGCGGTCCCCTGGTCTCGTGGGTCCTCTCCTCAGTGGCAGGATGCTGTGTGCGCCAGGGTGCGTTCCCGAGCGCGTGTGGCACTGCGGTTGACCGCTCTAAGTTCGTCTCTCTTAGTTGCAGCACTGGTTACGCCAAGGCGAGAGCTGAGGTGCCAGAAGCCTAGCTGTGGATGGGGATTGAGCCCGTCCACCCTGGGCCAGCACAACCGCGCTGCCACTCAGCCAGGCTGGTGTCTGCAGATCCCAGCAGGCAGTCCTCGTGTGGCTCGCGCGCACTAGCCAGTCCATAATTAATGCAATCTGCTGAAACGAAAGCATTCCACTTAAACGTGTTTTTGAACAAGTGCTTGAGAAAACACTAAGGTGGTGAGCAGGCCCCTGTGGAGAGGAGTGTTGCTGTGGCCAGTCTCTGGGAGGGTGCTTATCCTATGGAAAATTAGGCTTTGCCCGTGAGCTGAGGCTCTTTGCAAAGGCAAGCAAGCTGGCCAGCCTTTTGCTGTCTCTCCCTCTCTCTCTCTCTCTGTCGTTTTCCAGCAGCTTGAAGAGGGAAGATTGAGTGAGTTCCTTGTTCATACCTAAAATTCTTCTGGGGCAGTTCCAGGGCCCTGCCTTGTGTCTCATGAGTGACTGATAGATTAGAACCATAGCTAGAAGCTGGAGGGGTTTTTTCACCCACTCAATCTTGCCCTACCCCAGAAGCCTGAAGGACTTCATGCATGCATTCATATATGGATATGTGATGTGTGGTTAGATGTGCATGTATAAACAGAGCTCACACATACACTCCAAGTAAATTAAAATCCACGGGGAAACAGACCAATTCTCAAAAGGAGATCTTAGCACCATCTTTGTGAGCTCCAAGCAGCATACCTACAGTTACCACACATCTTCTAAAAGAACAAAATAGACATTTCTCTTCCTCCTCCTCCTCCTCTCTCTCTCTCTCTCTCTCTCTCTCTCTCTCTCTCTGTTAGATTGGTAACTTAGCACTTTTTATTTTCTTTTCTTCTTGTCGTATTGTCTTGCCCCTTCTGGAAACAGCTTGCTTCCAAGCTCTCACAATTTGTCTCCTTATACTATTGCAAGCCAGCACGTTGTGGGGTCCCTTTACTGCAGCTGGGAATTGGTCTTAACACCATATAGGAAGTGCCCTGTTTACTGTGCTCACCAAGAACACTTTGTCTTAAATCACATTAACACACACACACACATACACACACACACACACACACACACACACACACACACACACACACAAGCTGTTTCTTTTGCACCCAGGAGAAATACATCAAGCTATAAACTATTGTCATGATTCTTCTCCCTTTATCCCCAATCTAGACAATTAAGACTGTGGTTGCAATAGAAAGTACTGAGATATAATTGAAGTTTGAGTGGTCAGCCACTACCAAATGTTAGATGTTCTGGATTTTCCTGTGGTGCTAATCTCTTTTAGAAGTCACCTTCTGTTTGTTGGAGAAGTCTTTGGGTTCCTGAAGCGTAACCTAAAAGAATGGTCTCCTCTATACAAGGATTGCGTTCTGCCTCCAGTAAAATGACAGGAGTGTTAGCATGTAGGGTTGCACGGGACTCAGTTCGTAGAAGTGTATGGAACTCCCAGTCCACAGGAGTGCATGGGACTCACAGTCAGTGACAGTGTGTGTGGCACTCTTAGTCTATCTACAAGGGTGTGAGGGACTCACAGCCAATGGCGATGTGTGAGAGCCAGGTCTTGATGGCTGTCTGATCTTACGCAAAAGACTTAACTTCTTTGGGCTTCCATGGTTTTACCTATAGAATGGGGATGAAGACTACTTAGCATGCCCTGCGGGTTAAAGCTACATTTGGCGCACACGCACCATGCTCAACTCTCCAATCTAGATTGTGCTGTAGGCTCATGGAAGGGAGTCTCAGAAACCCATAACCACGCGCTCACGTGAGGCGGTGGTGCCATAAAGGAGGGTTTGGATATTGGCTCTCTCTGTGTAGATGTATGTCTTGGTTGACTTAGTTGAGGCAAATTGCATGGGCTGTCCAGGCAGATGGCAAGGCGTGTTCTCTGCCTCCTTTTTGTCCTGTTCGTTTCCTCTAGAAACAAGTAAACTGATCCACTTCTCAGGGAGGAAGTGTACGTGGGCAGAGCCAGCCCCTGGATTTTTTTCCATGGCCTAGCTGTGCACAGACATTGGCGTTCCTTCCCATAAGCACTGGACATCCTGCTGTGTGCTTTGTGTTCTTCAACTTGGATCTTTGGAGGGGAGGAGAATGGGAAGACAAACATTTTGCATGTGAGAATTCAGAAGAAGCATTGCCAAGCCGACGATCGATCAGCCCATGATCTACTGCAGATTGTTCTTTTCCCCTTTGACAGTGATGGTGGAGGAGGGCATGGACCATGCTGCTATGACATGTCATCCCTCAGTATGAACGTTCAACACAGCCATCTCTTTTCTCTGTCCTCTCTGGCCATACACTTTCCACTATACCCCTGTGCTCTGAAGTGATGGCCATTCTCCAGAGAACACACATGACAGACTCGAAGGTTACGAAGGAGGAGGGGACTAAAAGTCAGTGCTTTCTACTAGGAACTCATTTACATGACGTCCAAACCCAAACACATAGTTTTGATTTGAGTGCAGATCGTGAATAGCTTCAAGCCTTATAGGGTACGTAAGAGTATGCATGTGGTCTACCATGGCTCAGGGGGTTAAAGAAGTGACCTCTAACAACCATGAGGACTTAGAGGATCAGTGGAAGTGGAGGTTAGCCAGAAGTCTAGTGAGTGCTTCTCTGCTGGGGCCATTCGGTGACTGTCCTGGAGTTATACACTGTAGTCACCATTAAAGGAACGAGACCGTACGCTTGTTGGCAGCAACCAAAAATATAACTGGTGCATGTAAGTTCCCCCTCCAGATCTGGGTGTTTGTTCTAAATTCACTTAGAGCCCCACATGGGTGAACCTCAGGATTGAGCTGCTTCTTGACATTAATTGACTGATGTCCCAGGACCTTGCTCGCCCGCATTAACTCATCTGCTACCAGAAAGGACCAGAAAAGAAAGCAGAGACCCCGAAATTTGTGCAAAAGGACCAGTTAGTTATCCATTGATGACGATGAGGACTGGGGTCCTGAAGGAACAATGGAATCATCACATACTCGAGGGTGCTCTTTCTGAGTTGGACTCAGAAGCTCTCCTGTTGACACCCCCTTCCAGAATATGTTGGTCATGCCTCTCTGGATATACAGGTGTGTGCACACCTGCTAGCATTTATGCTTTCGCTAGGAACAAAAAAAAAACAAACAAAAAAAAAAACAAACAAACAAACAAAAAAAAAACCCAAAAATCTAGCAGATGTGTTGGCAGGAATCTGAGCAGCAATAGGAGTGTGTTGTTAGGGTAGTAGTAGGGGATTGCCTTTCCTAGGGTACGTTTTAGCTTCAGGGAAGCAAGGGTGTGAATGTAGTGAGAAGTGTCTCTGTGTTGACAAATCTTTCAGAGTCTTTTCCAACCTCACTGCTGTATTGTGCTCTGATTTTATCCATACTGAACAACTAAAACCCTGGCACCAATGTGTAAGATTTCATACCAAATCCTGTTCCCTTCCCCTTTGTCACATCCAGGCTGGGCGTTCATGCACTTTAAGGAACTTGTCTTGGTCTCTGAGGATTCTGTGGAGATTCCTTTCCCTGCACGTGGGTTTCATCCTCACACACACCCTTATTATAACGTCAAGAACAATGTGTCAATCTTAAAATATGGAGAGACCTCAGCATAGATGTAACTCACGTTTACGCACTCAATGCAGAATCTTTCCTTAGAGGTGAGAAAAAGTGAGCAGACTTAGTAAGATAAAGTCATCTCTACTGATAGCCACTTTGATATGAAACAGATTAATAATTCAGGCAGTGGTGGCACACACCTTTAATCTCAGCATCCAGGAGACAGAGGCAGGCAGATACCTGAGTTTGACCCCAGCTTAGTCTACAGAGCGAGTTCCTGGACAGCCAAAGATACACAGAGAAACCCTGTCTCTAGAAACAACAAACAAACAGAAAAAGAAATAGAGATTTCACAATAATAAGGGAAATTCTGTGCTCATAATTAAAAAAAAAATAATTTTAGATTGCATTAACTGAAAATGACTTACTGTGCAGCTAAGTTTTCATTATTGATTAGTTCATTCAATGGGGGGAGGGTAATGGGTCTGTGTAGTTAAGTTTTTCCTAAGTATAATTAAGCATTTTAAAATCCGGCTTTTAGGGGCTGGGGAGTGGGCTCTTTCAGTGAAATTTTTGCCTTGCAAGCACAAGAAGTTGGGTTTGATTCTAAGAACCCGTGCTTTTAAAAAAGATGGCTACAGCAGCATGTACTTAGTCTCTCAGTACTGGAGAGACAGTGACAGTCTGATCCCTGCCAC